CCTACATGGGGGGACTGACTAATTCTGCGAGTGAGGATAGCTCATGTGGTTAGAACTTCCCTCCCAATACCAGGAGATCTTGGGATCAATTCTCATCACCTATCCATTGCGGCTCTCTAAACACTAAAAACAAAAATATTGAAACATTTCTCGTATATATTTCTATAACGCACCCTTTCCAAAGAGATGGTCTAGCAATTATTGTAATTGCGAAATTGAATGATTTTTTTTATTCATCTAATTGAAATCGAAAAATTTATAATTTTTGTGATCCCACAAATTCTGTACCAATGAACTAAATTCATGATTATCCACCAATACTAAAAAAAATTAGAAACATCAAACTAATAGGGGTACTTACTATACTTGAACAATGTAGTTTTATTGAAACTGATGACGACAAAACATGAGAAATAAAAATAAAAAAGAGCGGCAAGGATTTTGACAAGGTGGTGAAAGTTGTGGTAAAAGTTGTGATATGCATTGAAAATCGTGAAATGTTAAACATTAGAACTAACATACCACGAAAGATATTCAAAATTTTATAGATAGAGGGAATATGTGTATATTCACAACGCAACACATTAAATGAGGGGAATTGCTTCACATTAACAAAAGTATTAGCTGAAAAATATTAGTCTTGTTTTCTAGTCTGAAAGGAAAATATTAAAAGAAAATTTGAAGGTTTTCAACCATTTGTATTTCTCATAAATAAAAAGCAAAAAACTGCGCCTTTTGCGATGTCATCTTGACAATTCATTTTTAGGCCACAACGTTTCTTGAACACTGGTTAAATGAAACGCAAAATCATTGCCCTTTCTGCTTTAATTCCCTGTCGTTTCTCCCTAGCTATGTCAGCCTTGCATTCAACCAATCTCTAAAATAGTTTGAGCCTAAGCGAGCCCAGCATATACAAGTTAGACCTATTTAATAATCGAGCCTCAAATTTTGTTCGAGCTCATTTGTTTACTTAGCACACGAGTTTTTTCCTAGCTCTAACCAAACATGTTCACAAGCTGTTCACGAGTATATCAACTCATTAACATTTAACACACATATTATCCAATGATTTAAAATATGTTAGTCACATGGAATAGCATACAACTTTACAATCCTGTAATTTGAAATGACTAGACGTGTTATATATAATAAACCCGTTATACACAAAACCAACTACTCCGTATATTTTTCTTGTCATGGGTAGCCACTTACAATTTCATCCTGTCAATTCGATTTTAAGTCACAATGAATGTTTCCTATACACTGGCTGAAGTGCTAAAAAAACGTCTTGAATCAATGCTGTTTCTCCCTATGTCAGCCTTTATCAGTCAATTTCAAAATTAGAATTGATAATAACAAACTTGCTAATGCAAGTTTGCTCAAACCATACCACAAGTTTGATTACGTACATTTTCAACTAGGCATGCAATTATACATATGCTGATGACATACTACTACAAGATCGCCTAAGTTATATACATGCATAAATAAATATGCTTAGTTTGACCTTGCAATACCGATGTTTATACTTGTATGTTGGTTGTCATAGTTATTATGATAATTGTATTATCTGATGTCTTTCATGTCTAAATATATTTAGAGATAAATGTCTATTTTGGGCACTTTGGGTTACCGCATGGGAGTTGTGTTTGTAGATGTTATTATATGGGTACAATTATGGAAACCTAGCTACAATACCAATTAATATAATATACTCAACAATCAACTTGAATATTAAAAAAACTCAACAATCTACAATCAACTTGAAGATTGTAGAGTTTTATAAGTAATCAAGTTGATTGTTGGGTATATTAATTAATTGATATCGTAGCTAGCTTTCCATATTTGTAAATTAAACATGTAACATTTTATGAACATAATTGTTGCCATAGGAGTAGTACAACTTGCTCAGGATTGAAATCACAAATATAGGGGTATTACGAGTTTTAATAATAGTAGCTAACTATAGTACTTGTAGTTTGTTAAATGGTAATAAAAATCCTTTTTTTGGTTATTATGGTAGTTGTAATGTTGGTCTAATGGAGTGGTAATGACCCGCGAAATGGTCATAGGTTAATAATAACGGGTTTAGTGCCTAGTTTATCCTGCCAAAAAAAAAAAAAAATAGTAGTAGTTAAAATAGGCATGTAACTGACTACGATTACATGCCCATTTTCATCCATGGCTTGATATTTGCCTACTTATAACAATGAGTAAGTTAGAGGTGTTAATTTGGGTGTTTGGGTTAGGTCGGGTCTATTTTTAATTTGAATTATGATAAATTTTTGACCATACAAATTGAAATTTGAATTTGTTTTTTTTTTTTTTTTTTTTTGGGGGGGGGGGGGCTTAGTTTCAAGTCAGGTCGAATTTTGACATCTGCTAGATGGAATGAATTTGTTTTAATTTGAAGAAGATGTCCCATATCATCAAGAGTAATGCCGTCATGGAAACATTATTCCATTGACACTTGATAGCATGATGCATTGACACAAAATTTGTTTAACTTTCAATGTTAAGATGTTATACGCTTGTATCCCAAGAAATTAAGAGCATGTTTGGTTGGAGTGTTTATTGACTAGAAATGGGTTCAAATAAACCATAACCATTACTCAAAGGTATTGGTTTCCACCCATTTGTTACTTCTCTAAAATTTAAGGTAATAATTACCCTTACTCTCTTAAAAAAAAAAAAAAAAAGGAAGATAGGTTTAAGTGATTTATTTCTATGAATATGTATATTAAATCAAACAAATGGAAAGGTAAGAATTAAATGATTCCTTTCCTCCTACTTATTTGTTTCCTTTCCACTCCATTTTCATTAGTCATACCAAACTCCCCCTAAAAGCCTCTCGTTACCAATGCCTCGACAAGAATGAAGAAGGACTTTTCTCCAAACTAAGCCCAATTTACAAAATAAATACCAAAATGGTTGTGTGGCAAAAGTATTTACCAAACTAAGCTTCTAGGGTAAAAATTTGTCTCGGACGGCGTTCTATGCCCTGGCTTTTTTTAAAAAAAATTCAACCAAAAAACGTTGTCTGGTACAGCGTTTTTAGTTGTTGACCTTTTTTTTTAAATTTTGTAATTTCTATTTTTTAAAAATAAAAAGAAAAAAAAATAATAAACACATAAAACGTTGTTTGAGACAGAGTCTTATGTACAACATAAAACGTTGTCTGGGACATCGTTTCTCTGCTGGTCTGCAGCACCAACAGCTAGCAGCCTTTGTTCTCTAATTTTTTCCCTACTTCTCTAATTTCTGCCCCAACACACCACCCCTGCCTTGATTAAGCCACCACAGTCAACCACCACCCCCACCACCAACCCCCACCGTCGACCACCACCTTCCGCCACTTTCGACCACCCTTATGCACTTCAAAACAGTCCAACTACCCCCAACAACACTTCAACCACCTCCACCACCACCAGCCCCAACCTTTCCACCACCGTCGACCACCACCCACCACAACCATTAGTACTAAAACCACCATGAACCACCACATTAACCACCACGGGCCATCGCTTCTACCCCGTTTCTGATTATGGATCCCAAATGTCTGTTGTTTAATATATATTGGCCTAAAAGAATCTATTTTGACTGACATAAGTCCGATTTGGATAAATAAGGAAACTAAACTTCAAACTACACACAGATTCATTCAACAAACATGTATTATATTAGTAATGTAATCGTTATATACATCATTCTAGAATATGTTTGTTTACAACAAATAAATCATACAATACTATCCCGACTCATCAATTCGGGCTAAAGTTTTCCTAGCCTGACTGTCGTCCCTCCGTCTACGACGCCGATTGTAATGAGTAATGGTGGTGAATGGGTCTCGAGGCGGTGGGGGAGTGAGCTGGTTGGACGATGTGTCCTCCTGGGTCCCAGTGGGCGCAGTAATGTGGATGATGTACTCCTCTGCGTCTGTGGGTGTCGTAGGATCACCTCCACCGCTACTCTGGACGGGGTCGAACTATGAATGGAAGGAGTGGTCATCTTGGTCGTCCCGCTGGTGGACGAGATAACTGTGACCATGTCTCTGTAAGGAAGTCACGGACATATCTCGCATCCGCTCAACTTGGGCTCTGGTGGGTCTGTCTACAAGGGCGAGTGACAGTGCATCAAACATCGCCACCATATCCGCCGCCTGCAGTAATCATCGATCAGTCAGTTACATGATATATAAAAAAAAATAAAAAATTAGGACGATAAGTAGAATAAAAGAAACTCACATATCCGCTAATGACGTCATATGCTGGATGGTAATGTGTGGACGATGGTGTGTAGCTGGGGTTGATGAAACGGCGTATAATACGCCTGTACCACACCATGTACGGATCGTGAGGATCCATAACGCCTTGCGTCGGATCACCTCGAACGACATAATCCAACCGTTGCTACCATAGCTAAAGGAATTGCCAATGCTCCAGTGACCAGTTTATCTCTCCTTTTCCCCGCCATGGTCAATGCCGTGAAGGCGTACACTAGTGTCACAATGCTAGGGAATAGACTTGCGTAGTTGGAACTGTCGCATGACGCGGTAGGGTAGGTGACTCTCCACAACCTCAAAACAAATCAGGGGGACCCTGGCACGCCACTCTGCCTGATGATCTAGTAGATGTGCAGGCATGACATCTACCAACTCTAGTGATCTGCAATAATACATCAAAATAAATATTATAATTAAGTTAGTCCACATATTGTATACACAGTACATAATTATTTTCAAATATCTTAAAAGTTTCCACTTGATGCCCAGTGTGTCGATCAAGAGCGTCTCGGTAGTACAGAAGACCCGTCGCCGCAAGCGCCTATGTGAGTCTGGGGACCACCCACCTATGGAAACAAAGTTGTTTTGTTTGTTAGCTAAATGAAACCGTATGGGGGTGAAAAAGAATGACAAATGTTACAAACCTGCAACTGTATGCCTCATCAGCTACAGGGAGCGGTGGAGCGATGTACGGCTCATACTGGTCATCCCAGTCCTGCTACCCCCAACGATGTACAGCAGGCCTACCTGGTCTTCCTACATGGATGTGCTCCCAAGCCCATAACTGCAATAGAAAAATACAAAACTATGTTAAGTATGACATTAGTCATTGCCTAAATAGCTTGTGAAAAACTAGGTTGGTTACCTGAAGCACGATTAGAGGTCCACCAATCTCGAGTGCACCACTCTGTGAGGCTCTACACAGGTGGCGATACAACATCGCCAAACAGGAACTACCCCAGCTATATCCACCGATATGATCCCAATCGTGGTCTAACAACTGTAGGTAAATAAGCAGCATATGGCTCCCGCTCTTGTTCCCGAACAACACGCCGGATATGAGAAAGATTATACGCATCCACTCTATGATATTTGGCTTTCTGTTGTAGGTAATTCGCTCTCCCTTTTCTGTTGTCACTTGGTAAATATGCAAACGACGATGATACGCATCCACTATATGATATCTACTTTTGCGGTGTTCTTCTTCAGGATCGTAGTGACCTTTGGGGGGTATGGAAGTCCCTGATCAGACCTAGCCTCGGAAGACTCCCTTCTCAAAGTGAAATACTTGTTAACTCTGTGGAAGGTTAACTCGACAAGGGACATGATCGGTACGGTAGAAACCGAGCTCCCTTCAACACATTGTTAAATGTTTCTGAGAAGTTTGTAGTACATATCCCATATTTGCGACCATTGTCGTGAAAGAGAGACCACATAGTGTACGGGACTTGAACAATGTACTCCATGGCCTTGGTACATGCCTCACTAATGAAACACAGATCAGCTTGAAGTCTTCTTTCCTGCCTTTGGTACGCCGCAGGCTTGAACTTATCTCTCATGTCGTTACTTCGCACGTGAGTCTTCAAGTTAGAAGCTATGTGGCGGACACAAAACCTATGATAGGCTTGTGGCTGGGTGAATCCAACATTAGGATCATTCATTGCTGCAATGATCCCAGGATGTCGATCATATATAACACAGAGGCCATCCCGTTGCGTGACACGATCCCGAATACAACCCAGGAACCAAGACCAACTGGAAGTGTTTTCCCCTTTAACCACCGCAAATGCTAGAGGAAATACTTGGAAGCTTGCATCAACACTTGTAGCAACCAACAGTGTTCCTTTATACTTCACGTACAAGTGCGTTCCATCGATACATATAACAGGCATACAATGTTTAAAGCCGTCGATACAAGGACCGAAGGCCTGAAACACTCGTTCAAACACTTCCATGTTGCTGTAGTACACACCGTCCACCAAATCTTTGTGTTTCCATATGACACATGTTCCCGGGTTTGACCGTAGGAGTGCTAGCATGAAGTGCGGAAGTCTGTCGTAAGAACTCTCCCAATCCCAAAATATTTCAGCCGCTTTCTCCTTGGCATACCACGCTCTCCGATACGGGACATCAAAATGAAATTGCTTGGAGATTAGTTCCTGTATGAATTCAACTTTCAAGGACGGATCTTTCCGCACAAAGGACTTCACATACTCTGCTATTATGGACGAATCCAAGTGTGGGTGATCGGTAGATAGTATTTCAGTGACACATATTTCCCGGTGCGGGCCTTTGTACGTGACTATGGTAAAACCACGCGAGTGCTCACTAGATTTGGTACCCCGTAGCATCCAACCACATTTCTTCTTGCGTTGTAGATGAAGGACACTATCATTCGAGGTCACTGTGGTGTAGAATTGACTCCTCTGTATAGAATACATCTTCACCATTTCTTGAAGCATTTTCTTACTTTCAAAATACATTCCCTTCTCAAATTGTCCCTCGGGAACAAACGATGTATGGCTACCCGATTCGGCCCAATACTGATCAACTTCATAGTTCTCGTTTACCTCACTGAACCAAGGTAGGGAGTTCTAACCAAGGGCTCGCCAACTTCCATCTGTGCAGGTTCATCATCCTCCTCTCCGTTCTCATCCTGATCATTTGTTTCTGCATACACATCATACACCGACAATTCATTATACACAATATCATCAAAATGATTTGGCTCTTCTCGAGACGGTGATGCTTGAACATCATCTTGCATAGAAGAATAACTATGCAATTGCATCGGTGAAGGTGCCACGGTGTTCGATGACGAAGGATTAGGTTGGCCGAACATTGTCACACATCCCCCCGCATGTACTGGTGAAGCTATATGAGAACATAACGGCATGTGAAATGGATCGTCCTGCAACATTCGACTGAAAGATCCCATCCCATATTCATTTGATGGAATGTTGTTTGAGGGCACTTGGAGGGACGCGGTGTTGTAATCAGAGACATATGTAGCTTGCTGTTCTGGCCGAGTACTTTGTTGGGTACATATAGGCACCGTTTTTACATATATCTCATTGGGAATACCCTTCATTGCAACAATGCTCCTCAAAGCTTTCAGATGTCTGTTCGTAGAAATAGGTAACACTTGAACCCCATGGCCAGTATCAAACCTCATTTTAATGTTAAGTTCGACATTCATTGGGTTTGAACCAATACTACTATGAACCTCGTTCATCAAATCATTGACTGTCATGTTCGGTTCAAGTGTTAGTGGTTCCATATTTCCTCCACTATACACAACATTTGATCCATCGCACAGAATTTCACCTCCCCACCAGCATAACAACACTACATTTTGTCCAGCCATATTCTACATAACAACCAAAACACATTTTACTTAAAGACGTTAAACCATCCCTAAATCACCACAATCAAACAAAAAATGTTTACATACTTTACATAATAACTACTAAGAACCCCTAAATCACCATTATTACACAACAATGTAGGTTATGACAATTGATCAAAAACTAATAATTATCAACCATTATCTACAATTTTCAACATAACCAACAACAACAATTCAACATTATCTAAACTACTATCAACACTACCAATATCAACACTAACAATTCATCAATTACCAACATTAACAATTCAACAATACCAACACTAACAATTCAACATTATTAACACTAACAACTCAACATTATCAAGATTTTAACTACAATTTCAAAAAATTAGAAACCACCAACATAAACCCTAGAATTTAAAAATCAAAGAGAGATTGAGTAAATACCAATTTCGGGGTGAAAGGAGGCTAGGTTTAGTGGGCTTCCGGCGTCCGGTCGTCGGAGTGCGACGGTAGAGGTGGCGGCGGCGGCGGCGGCTTGAAGGGAGGAGCACAAGTATCTTAGAGAGATAGAGGGATTAAGTTAAGAAGAGTTTGGGAATGAAGAAGGGAGGAACAAACGCTGCTTGTTTTACGGCAAAAATATAAAAACGCAAGAAACGCTGTCTCAGACAGCGTTTCATTAACAACAAAAAACGTTGTCTCAGACAGCATTTATTGTTGAACAATAAACGTTGTCTCAGACAGCGTTTTAGTACTCTTTGTATAAAAAAAATTTACAAACTGGTAATTACACAATTTTTTTAAAAAAAGTCAACAACTAAAAACGTTGTTTGGGACAACGTTTTTAAATTGAATTTTTTTTTAAAAAAAAACCAGGGCATAAAACGCTATCCGAGACAGCGTTTTACCCTAGAAGCTTAGTTTGGTAAATACTTTTGCCATGCAACCATTTTCGTAAATATTTTGCAAATATGGTTTAGTTTGGGAAAACGTCCAATGAAGAATGTCCAATTGCCAAAATTAAAAACACTGAAATTGATATCTGCTAAACGGAAAGCCTTAAGCACCAAGCCACCAAGGCAATGACAGATTTTTGGCCAAAAAGTTAAGCGGCAAAGTTTTATGCTTCTATCACCTAATCTTTTGTTTAATTTCTACATGACACAATTCTGATTTAATTTAATTTAAGACCCCTCGTTTGCACAAAAAGGGGAAAAAAAATAAAGCAATTTTGATGAAATATTGTTTTAATATTATTTAATAGAATACGTACACTAAAATGAATCTAGCAATGCAAGATTCTATATGATTTTAATTTTCTTGTATATATCAACAAACATGTACTTATTTATGGTCATTGTTACTCTGTCTTTAGATAAAATATCCTAAGTATGAACAACATTTAGAAACCTTTAAAGTATGGTCTAGTTTGTTCCTTTTAGATCTAATATGAAGTTCTTCTTATTCAATTTAATATCTATGGTATGATCTTTGTTTGATTCATAAAAGTTTAAGTAATAAGTTAATTAATGATATTCGGGGGAAGAGAACGTAACTTTAATTTAAATCGATAAAATTTCATCAGCTAAAAGTTGTAATATTGTAGGGCTAATGTTTCTTAGCAATGTACTATTGTTAAGACATTAAAACTACAGTGTAAATTGGAGTATGAGGTTTTGGGCAAAATGTTAAACGAATAACTCATACTATATATAAATCTATATCTATATCTATATCTATATCTATATCATTAGTCTACCACATGTCACCTGGCCTTCATCCATCAAGTAAAAGGTTGTTGCATCATATTTGATTGCAACATTAAACCATACCATACATGACTTATTAGGCTATAATTTCCTTCAAATTGCCAAAATATGTATACCAATAAACATCAAACCCATAATCTTCGACTTTTGGATTTTAAATTATCAAATATTAGTATTAATTTATAAAGAAAGAAAATAAGTGAGGTTAACTACTTCTTCACATTATTATGATCCATACAAATAATGCAACCCCCTTTTCTCAACCCCTTTCCTTTCAATATTACCAGCCTCTTATTAATTGTGGTCCTTAACAATTTTGTATGAGCTTCATTGCCATGATTTCTCTCATTAATGGTTGTATTGTCCTCATCAAACACCTTACCTCAATCCTAGCTTATACACAGTCTATTTTCAAAATAATTCATAGTAAAAGGTTCCTCAATTAATGTATATTTTGATTTAACAAAAGTTGAAAAAGTAAACGTCAAAAATAAATAAATAAATAAATAACAAAAATAACAAGTGAATTGTTAGTTGAGAGAGTGCAAGTGAATTGTTAGTTGAGACGAACTCTACAAGAGGGGGGTGAATTGTAAGTGAGTTTCTAGTGACTACTTTTGCGGAATTAAAACTGAATAATAAAGGAACTTGCAATGCACACAGGATTTTACGAGGAAACCTTTTAAGGCCCAACTGGAAGTAAAACCTCGATCCTCTAAGGGATTTCACTCAAAACCAATCAACTATAATAAGACAACACACCTAGTTACAACCTATTAAACACAGACCTTTACTCACAAGTTCCAGACTGAACTTGCTACACAATATAACCCTATTCTACCCAACCTAAGTCCCTGATTAGATTCACTCAGCACTCTCGGAGTACTCACTACTCAGCTTCAACCTTGAAGCCTACAATCTGTATGCAATATGCTAAACACTCACCCCAATCCCAAAACAATACAAACTCTTGACTATAATATATGATTGGAAAGCTACACATGAAATCCGAAACTAATATGATAAAGTTTAGACTTAGCAAACTTACACTTTTCGCACTCTTAAGATTTTTCACGCATAAACACACAAGTTGTTCAAATTATGAATTCTACTTTATATACAAGTTGTACTCGTATGTAAAGTAGGGTTTTCAAAATATACAAATTAATGAACTGCCGTTTTCATAATCACAACACTTAAGTAATAATTTTAGAAGAAAATCTTTTAGAAAACTTAACAAAGATATAATTTTAGAAAAGAATAATATTTTGTAAAACTCGAATTTTATTCATCATCATCAAAACTCTTAAGGTTCAACAATTTCCCCCTTTTTCATGATGACAAACTTAGCGAACTTCGAGCAGGAAAGTTAAATAGAATAAAAAGACGTATATTTGTATTTTTTATTTTTTAACAAGAAAAACTAAAAACACACAGAACTAAAGTAAAAAAAAAAAAAAAACTTAACAGAAAACAAGCAAAACAGAACTAAACTACTATATACACAATCTCAAAGAAATCTTTGATACTTTATCAACTGGAACCCAGAAAAACTTCCACTTTCAAGTTTGCTTCTTCTTTTCCCCCTTTTGGGATTATCAAAAAGTCCTGCAAGCTAAGTTATTAAACATCTAGCCACAGCCCCACAAGCAATTCATCGAGTGTGGGAAACTGAAGGCAGCGCTGACTAGCTCTCTTTAGCTAGTCCCTTCACACAATCATGCATATACTTTCAAATTACACAATGCATACATGTATAAGAAAAGTTCCAAAATAGCATAAAAACAAAAGATCATCCTGTTTTAGCAATTACAGACCAAAGTTTTCAAAACATCAAAATGAAACTAAAATTGTTCATGACTTAAACAGTTGAAAAGAATGTGGCTAAGGCTAGGGTAGGATAGGCTAAGAGAAGTAGGTTGGTTCAGGCTTCTAGGATGGTAAGACTCTTCTTGTTATCCTCCTTGTATGCTTCGATGCTAGCATCCAGCTTTGCATCCAGACTCTTGATAGTCTTCTAGAACTCAACCTGTTGTCCCTTAAGACTTTTCTCAAGACCCTGCATACTCTTTTCCAGCTTCTGAACCTTCCCTACTACTTCTCAAAGTTGCTTCTCTTCAAGCTCAGCCTGTTTAGTAAGTTCAGCAACCTGCCCTTCCAAAACCTTGTCATCACCATCAAGTTCTAGAGGTTTCTCCTTGCTGGTTTGAGGAAAGGAACTACCTATTAGCCTCCTACTCTTCCTCAAAGGCTCACCAGATGTTGCTCCCTCTCTCTTCTTCCCACTAATTGTAATTTTCTTTTCTTCCACCTTCTAAATCTTGCC